TGTTACACTAGCAAAGTCTGTGCAGAGCTGAACTATAGCACTAGGGTGGGTATTGTCTCAAATAAAAGCTATACGCATGGAAGTTATTTTATTAGTAAGAGAACAAAGTCAAGATAATCAGAAGTATGTAATACTTTACCATTAAAATGGAAAAATACCTCTAAAATGAATAAAAAGAACCACAAAAGAATGCAAAGTATTAAAATTGGTGGCTCCAAACATCTAGGAGAATTCTCTTCTAATGACCTTGGTGGATCTGTCTGCTTCATGCAATTACATGTTTATTTCAAGGATCTTCCATATGCACTCACCTGTGGACTGTCTCCTTCTGTTGATTTTCTGGAGAACTCAGTTTAAGACCTCTAATATGAGTAACTTTTTCAATTCTTGTCAGTGAAATATGCATAATGTCATACTAGTTGATAAACATGTAGCCAAGGGTCCATTTTTGTACTTTATCTGCCAAACTGGTAATAAATTGTATATATAAGGTCATTTCATGCATCTCAATGGCAATCTTTTTCTGAGACTTTGTTCAGAGCACCAAAGGTTTAGGTCATGTAATGGTGATTAAATGAATGGCCACAGAACAGCCTGTACCTGGGATGAAAGAAAGAGTGTCAAGGGTTCACTTACCTAGTTCAGTTTGTGAAGGTTGGAATATGTATGGGTTGGGACATCTGAGTTATGTGGGCCACAGTGAACAGTTCATAATGAGACAGCCTAGGACTTTGTAAGGGAAGGATGCAGGGCCACGAGGGCTAAGGCTGTGCCAGGCCACAGTAGTTCAAGGATAACTGCTATAATAATTCATTTCAGTTTTAATATTCCATTTGTTGTTTCCACTTTTCCACAGGATTGGGGTGTGATAGGAGAAGGGAAGTTTCTATGTGAGGCCTGACCTTACCTAACCGTCCCAGAGAAATTTCCTCTGCTATCTAGAGAGTAATTGAAATGGAATAGGCAGTAAACACAAAATCCAGTTGATACTTGACTCTTGTGATTGCTGTGATTTTCAGGCAAGAGAGTGGTTCCATCCATGTAGAAAATAAAATACTATTACCCGTCCGTACTCATAGCTCATGTAAGGAATGCAATTGTGTAAGATCCCTTTGGAGATACTCAAATGTTTCCTTAGGACAGTATTTCAGAGCATATTTCACCTTTCCAACTTCATGGGATTTTGTTGACTTCCAGAAAGGCATGAATAGCCCCATTGTCTGCCATCCTAGAAAAGTCTCCCCACTGGTGTTTGTTTAATGTTGCATCCAATATATTCTCAGTGTGATGCGTTGTCTCTGGAGTATTGTAGCAAGTGCTCAGTAGAGATCATTTGGCTGCACCAGGCAGCTGTCTTGGCTTTGATATATCTTGTTCTAGTGGATCATCAAATCAATCATTCCTAGTGATTCTTTACAAAATTTGTGCCAAATTTTCTGTAACCAAGATGGGATTATTGAACTTTTCCATGGTTCTGTTTTATGTTTCTAAAGAAGTGGTTACATAAGGCTCTTAGTTGGAAATGTATATTCAGATGACCTGCTCAAGCATTTTTTCTTAGTTCCTACGTTGTCTTTTTTGCTGTGAGACTTTGTCTTTCTGACAAAAATTTTTGAATTACATGAATACAAAAAAAATTCATGTATTTACTGTGCATTTTTAATAGGATGCAGGAGATACATGAAAGGGTTAAGAAAAGTTAGAAAGTTAAGAAACCTCATTGTCTTTATAGTATTTGAAAGTTGTGACCAACATTAAAAACATATTGACCGACACTGACCACATGACTTTTTTGTAAAATGACATATATATGAGATTTTCATTAATTCAGCAACTTGAATTAATGTTGCTTCTCCAAGGTTTGGATTTTATAAAGGGGTCTGGAGTTGTAATTGCATGACCAGTCTGGTATTGTCTTTTTCAGTGTTTAAGGACTCTGGCCGACATGCACCCATTTCAGTCCCTGTCCACCAGGGGGTGCAGCTTCTTACCACAATCACATTTCCTGTGTGAAATGTAGGCTTCCACTAATCATTTCTCTGTCACTCCAATGTTTCTTCATGGTAAGAATGAAGAACGTTATTTAGGTGATCCTCCAGAGATGAAGTGTTCTCCAGGCTTCGTGACTGTGGTACTCTTAATGCTTGGTAAGTAAATGCCTCTTAAAAATTGGATTCATTCTTGCGTTGTGTCTGCAAAACCTTTGACTATCATTTTATCCAAGAGCTTTATGCCCAAAGTGACACAGGTCTCTTTTCTTTTTCCTCAGGACAAACCCATGGAGACTCAGTGACTCAGACAGAGGGCCCAGTGACCCTCTCAGAAGAGGCTTTCCTGACTATAAACTGTACCTATTCAACAACTGGGTATCCCACTCTTTTCTGGTATGTCCAGTATCCGGGAGAAGGTCCAGAGCTCCTCCTGAAAGCCTTGAGGGACAAGGAGAAGGGAAGCAAGAAAGGATTTGAAGCCACCCTCGACAGCAAATCCAAATCCTTCCACTTGCAGAAAGGCTCAGTGCAAGCGTCAGATTCAGCTGTTTACTACTGTGTCATGAGTGACACAGTGACGGGGACTGCAGGGGGAGCTGAGCACAAACCCTGAGCAGAGCAGGGGCTTGGATGCTGAGCGTCTCTGCCTGATCCACTCTGGTCCCAACACAGTCTGTGTTTGTTTGTCCCTCAGTGTCTGCTTGATACAAAATCATACAAACGAAGAGCATAATAACCAGAAGTAACATCCCCCAACCCCAGCTGTTCCTTAATGACATTGAGAACAGTTTGATGCCAAGAGTTCCTCAGCCAGGGCATAAGTAATTTCAAGATAAAATCACATGACAATGAAGTGGTCTCTTGCTCATCCTTGCAGTGAACGTCCAGCCCCACAAGTTGTTCAGGGATCCCTGGGGGGTGTTGCTGTGTCTTATGACATCTTTAGAGACACACAGTGTGCCTGAGAAGGTGGTGATGCCCAATGTCTTCCTGACAGAGTATGACAGGAGACGTGATGGGAGAGCTTCAGTCCCAAACCAGGGTTTATTAGAGAAAGAAGGGAAGGGAGGAAAGGAAGGTGAACACATGAACCCGAACAAGGAAAAGAGAGGACAGTGACCTCTGCCCTGCTTTCTTTTCTAGTGAATCAGGTGGCGACTCAGGCTGATATTCAACATGAAGGGGTGGCAGAAACAGAATGGAGGAAGTGGCTCATGTCCTGGATAGTTAAATAGATCAGTTGGCTTTCTGACAATAGGAACTCAAATGAGATTGTTCTCAGTGCTCAGGAAATACGGTGAGAGAAAATGCTCTTGCACTGATGTTTCCTCACAATATAGATCGATAGGTGACACTGGGAGGGAAATCCTGTAGATTTTTCTAACTCCTGTTTTACAACCTCTCACAGAGAGCCACAAATCATGGGACTGGAGAATGTATGGGAGTCAGTGAAGTTGTGTAAAGAATAATAGAAAAGCAATGTCTGTTGCAGTGCAAGACTTTGTCAAAATTGTTGCAATCTTCTTTAATTATCATCTCCTTATCTGCAGATTTTATGAATGAGCTATGATCAGAATATTAATACATTCCCTATTATCTTATTTATATATTTTTAGTTTAAAGTGATTTTTTTATTTAATTGTTTGAAAATGTAATTTTTATTTTCCAACCTGTGTAAATATAAATGCATGTGAAAATATACTTTAAACAATTTGAGGGATATATAATAAGAGTTTTCTCAGACATTTGGATAAACATGGTAGATTTGGGGTGCCTGGCTGGCTCTGTGGGTAGAGTTGGGACTCTGGATCTCGAGGTTTTAAGTTCAAGGCCATGTTGGGTGTAAAGATTACTTAAAAATAAAATCTCTAAAAAAAAAAACCACGCATGGTAGATTAATAATACACGTTTATCTCTTGATTTCTCTAATACTCTTTTTTTAAAGGATTTTATTTATTTATTTATTTATTTATTTATTTATTTATTTATTTGAGAGAGAGTGCATGAACCCAAACAGGGGGAGGGGCAGATGGAGAGGGAGAAGCAGACTCCCTGCTGAGCAAGGAGTAGGAGGCAGGGCTCAATCTCAGGACCCTGAGGCCATGACCTGAGCTGAACTCAGAAGTTTAACTGACTGAGCCACCCAGGTGCCTCTCTAATACTCTTTAAAAAATTTAGTAAAGACATCCCAAAGGGCAGAAAGCCATAGGCACAAACAGAAACATGAAAAAAGCAGACAGTGACACCAACCAATTTTAGAAAATGAGCTGTATATGGATAGGGGCAAACTTGCATGAAACACTAGCTTAAGAGAAACCCTGGCCTACTGCGGAAGCACCTGTGTGTGCCGTGCCCTCTGGAAAGGGTCAGGGAAAAGAAGCACCACATACTTTTGGATAATTGAGGAAGATGGCGTTGCCCACGTTGGTATCTGCATGTGTGTGCATGAGTGTGCGTGTGTGTGTGTGTGTGTGTTGGGGGTACTGGGGGGAGAGAAGGAGTATAAGAAGACTGAGTGGTTACCTCGTGTCCTCAGAACTGAGCGTACGAAGCATGGAAGCTTACTATGGTTCAACTGAGGTAAGAGGAAAAGTATAAATTCAAAGGATTGATAACTTAATGACCAAACTCTGGCATCTATTCTGGCCTTTCTGAACAGAACTGAGCTGAGCTGTGGAAATGAAACAGTGAGGAGACCTCGGTGACAGGATCTATTGTCTGAGGTCTTCAGTCTACACTCTTTAGCAAAAAGTGATTAAGAATTTTCTGAATTTGGCCCCAACACAGGGATCTGTATAGACATTGACAGTGAGGAGGAACACTGACATAACAATAGGTCCATTGAAAGAGCTACAGTGATTAGTCTAAACACTTCGTCTTCTTATCATAAAGTGATTTATGTCTACCTTGGGTGAAATCACATAGGGCAGGCATACATGATTCTTACATTCTTTTTTCATGATTCTTACATCTTATGTTGTTTCCATAATTCATTACATGTGGTATTTAAAGATTATGGAATGCTTCCTGAATTTGCATGTCATTCTTGCACATGGGCCATGTTGATTTTCTCTGTACCATTCTAATTTTAGTAAATGTGCTCCCAAAGTGAGCCCTATCTGTCATATTTTCTTTAAGTGCCACCCACCCACTTTATCGCAGATATAATGAATGAACATCACAGTTAGTTAAACCATCAATCCTCAAATCCGCATTTCAATATAAATTTTACTCATATTTATTTTCAGATGTAAGGTTCTCAATTAAAGTGGCTTAATGCAAAAGAATTTTGGGTAGTGGGAATCTCAGCTCTTTCATAGAGAAGTGTGACATGACCCACACATTTGCTACACCAGGAAAGCCCTGTTTCCTGTTCTTGGGCCACAGCAACACATACTCAGCAGTCCTTCCCTCACCCTGTCAGACTCCCCTCATGGTGCCAAGCCCTGAAATTGAAGAAGAAGACATTCTCCATCTAGTGGGAGAACTCAAACCTGTTGCTCTCCAGGCTCCTGAAGGTGGTCATGGCTTCCATGTGGCTAGGTAGGGAGAGTCCCAGTGGGAATGTGCCTGCTCTATGACCTAAAACAAGGGAGATAGGCAGTCTCCTGTGGGTCTTATGGGAAGGAGGGATTGTAGCATGTAACACAGAATTTCTTTGTGCCACATCACTTACTCTGACACCCCTGGTTCCATGTTTTTTTCCTTTAGGATCCATAATTGTCAGAAGGTAACTCAAGCCCAACCAGCAAAGTTGGTGCAGGAGAAGGGTGCTGTCACTCTGGAATGCACATATAACACCAGTGATCTAAGTTATAGTCTATGTGGTACAAGTAGCCCAGTAGTGGAGTGATGATATTCCTTATTCATCAAGATTCTTACAGCCAGCAAAATGCTACAGAAGGTTGCTACTCATTGGATTTCCTGAAGACAAGAAAACCCATCCAACTTGTCACCTTTGATTCAGAGCTGGAGGACTCTGTGGTGTATTTCTGTGCACTGAGGGAGTCTACAGTAAAATGCGTGATGGAGGGGGGTGTACCCAAACCCCAGGGCTCTTCTTGATGCATCTCCCTGCTGTAGGGCCCAAGGCGGGGGATTACCATCCCAGACAAGAAGTGGAACAGGTATAGGCTTAAAGGGAAAAACTCACTCTAAGAAAATATCTCGCTGGATAAAAGTTATCATGCATCAAAAACATCCTTATTCCTATAAATTTGTGTTGAAATTGTTTATTGAAGACTAGAATAGCCACAGTAAACAAATTGCCATTTTGCAATTAGATTTAGCCAGAAGAATTGACTAAGGAAATTTAGAAACATTTGACTTAAAAATCAGTAATAATGTGTGTGAATAGTTGGATTTTCAGATCAATTTGTTCAGTAAATATTTATTGAGCATATATTATGTTACAGGCATTGTTAGACTAAGGAAAATTGTGAAATGCCTCTGTGCTTTTTGTGTTTTTGTTTTATATCATGCCATTTTATACCATGTAATGATTTAATTTAATTAGGTTTGTTTACTGTGAGTCGTTGTACTTGCATTTAATTTTTAAGGGTCCTGCTCTGTGACAAGTTCATATTAGTGTTCATTCCATCTTATTAACACCTCTAGCATAGGTGTGCTCAGTCTGCATACAGAAGGCTTACCTGCTTCCCACCAGTCTCATTAACAAATGATCATCATTAGGGGTTCTTAGGGGGACACAATGAAAGAGCAGAGTATGAATTTTCCCCTTTGTCTGTTCCTGCTCTTGATTTCAACACTCCTTCAAAAGTATTTTTTGCAAACATATGGTTTAGTTTGCACACTTCCAAGCTCTCCTGTTTGATCAATGTTCCACACTCCAGGGGCACCTGGGTGGCTCAGTTGGTTAAGGGTCTGCCTTTGGCTCAGGTCAGGATCCCAGGGTCCTGGGATCTAGCCCCAGTTCGGGCTCCCAGGTCAGCGGGGAGTCTGCTTCTCCTTGTGTCCTCTGCCCCTCCCCCTACTCATGCTCTCTCTCTCTCTCTCAAATAAATAAATAAACAAATAAAATCTTTTAAAAAATGTTCCATACTCCAAAATCCTCATTCTCTCCATTTTCCTCCTTCCACCTCTAACTCCATTTGCTCAGTGCCTTAAAATTTGAACGATAATGGATGGTTGATAATTGGTCTTGTATTGTAACACCCTCTTATATTTGTTAGGAAGACAGATATGTAGAGAAGAAATCTTAAGAATCTCTTGAAATGTTTTTAATTACAAACTTTTACCATTTTATCATACACTTTTACCATTTAAAATTTTTTTTAATTGCACAGATCAGCGGTATTAAATACATTTACACTGTTGTTCAACCAGCACCACCATCCATTTCTAAAATTCTTTTCACCTTGAAAAACTGAGTATCTATACTCATTAAACAATAACTCTCCATTATTCCATCCCTCCAGTCTTTGGGAACTACCATTCTGCTTTCTCTTTCCATGAGTTTGACTACTTTAGATACCTCATAGAGGTGGAATTATGCAGTATTGGTCATTTTGTGACATTTCATTTGACATAATGTCCTCAGGGTTCATCCATGTTCCACCGCATGCCCACATTTCTTTCCTTTTTAAGGTTGGATAATATTCCAGTGTATGTACATAGCACATTTTGTTTATCCGTATCTCTTGATGGACTTTTGGGTTTCTTCCACCATTTGGTGGAAATAGGAATTTACAATCACCTCAATATTATAGGGATATAGCCAAATTCTTTCAATTTTTGAGTAGATTCCTGATGTTGAATTTCTGGATCATAAGGCCATTCTATTTCAAAATTTTGGGGAAATGTTTATAGTAGATAATTGGAATAACTATGTTCTGGACTGCATTATCACAAGCAAGTTTCAAGGAACAGAGAAAGAGAGTGATCACTAGTCATGGATGGAGCTCCAATATATCGGTGCATCACAGAACCCTAGGAGATTTTGTCACTCTTGCTACAGTGCATTGCTTAAAACAAGTGTCTAATAATTGCTCTGAATGGAAGGTGAAGCCACTACCCAATGGTCAGCTCCTGAAGAGCAGTTTGGGCATCCATTATAATATGTTCTCTTTCCTCTTTTGGTAAAAGAGCCAACCCTGCAATTATTTAATTCTTTTTTATTGGTTGCATTTGCATAAATAAAGAACCTATAAAAGATTGTCTTAAAATATTTCAAAGGCTTGGGAAGAAGTCATTTTATTACTGCCTAGTCTCTCTCTCAATCTTTCTCTGACAACAATCTATATTGGCAAAAACAGGGAACAGGCTTTTACTATCATCCAGCTTTGTTTTCTAAACTGTTAGCTCTGCCATGAACTTTCTGGATACTTTTGAGCTTTGTTTCATTATTTGTAAAATGGGAAGTGATGTCTTCTTTAGTATTTATTTTGTTGTGACAATTTATCAATAATATATCCAAAGAGATTGACAAGTAGGAGATGAACAGTTTAGGAGGGTATCTCAATAGGTACAGAGAAAGCATTTGACAAAATCCAAGTTCATTCCTGATTAAAACTTCCAGCAAATTAGATAGAATTGAAGGGAATTTCCTCAACTTAAAAAAGGGCTAACAAAAGACCTACATCAAATGTCCTAGTTGATGGTGAAAGCTGAAATGCTTTCTCCTTGGTTTCAGAAACGAGGGAAGACTTTTGGCTCTTACCACTTGTATTTAATATTGAAGTAGAGGTTCTAGCCAATGCAATAAGGCACATGGAAGAAATAAAAGCCATACAGTTTGGAAAGGAAGAAGTGAACTTATCTTTATTAACCGCAGCATAATTGAGCAGAAAATGTTAGGGAATCTACAAAAACAGCTACTAGAACAAATTGGTTTAATAAAGGCAAATGTACACCCACCATATGATCCAACCATTCTACTCCCAGATATGGACCCAAGAGAAATGAAAGCATATGACTATAGAATATATATATATATATATTTTAAAGATTTTATTTATTTATTTGACAGAGAGAGACACAGCGAGAGAGGGAATGCAAGCAGGGGGAGTGGGAGAGGGAGAAGCAGGCTCCCCATTGAGCAGGGAGCCCGAAGCGGGGCTCGAGCCCAGGACCCTGGGATCATGACCTGAGCCGAAGGCAGATGCCCAATGACTGAGCCACCCAGGCGCCCCGTGACTATAGAATATCTTAAACACAAGTGTTCACAGCAGCTTTATTTTTAACAGCCCCGTGTGGACCAATTGATACGGTCATCAACAGATGAATAGACAAATTGTTTTATATGCATGTGACAGGATACTACACAGCAACAGAAAGAAACTGTCTTGATAATTATGACCAATGAAGAATTTCAAAATAATTATGTTGAGAAGAGGCCAGACAAAAGAGTGCAATCGGTATAAAATTTATACAAAATTATGAAATATGTAGACTAATTCATGACCAAAGTGTTTCCTGGAAATGGGGCAGGAGAGAGTTGTGAGAAGGATTACAAAGAGACATGAAGGAACATTTGGGGTGATGCATATGTTCATTATCTAGATTGTGGTGATGGTTTGACAAGTATATACATGAGTCAAATCATACAGAATTATTTAATTTGGTGCAGTTTATTGTTATGTAAATTACACATTAATAAAAGCCATTAAATATCCAAATTCACTATGCAGTATATTCTGTCAATGTTGTCCAAGGCTTCTTGTGTGACCCAAAAAGCAAAATATTTCTCCTGTAGGCTTTCATTGGCCTGAAACTATGCTTTTTCTTAAAGTTATAATGTCTTTCTGCATCCATGTGCTATACTGTTTATTTTTTTTTAAAAGATTTCATTTATTTATTTTAGAGAGGGAGAGAGAGAGAGTGCAAGCATGGGTGGGGGGAGGGGCAGAGAGGGAGGAAGATGGGGAGGGAGAGAATCTTGAGCAGACTTCTGGTGACTCCCATCCCAAGACCCGGAGATCATGACCCCAGTCGAAACCAAGAGCCTGAAGCTCAACTGAGTTACCCCGTTGCCCCCTGTTTATTTTCAACCAGCATCATCCCAACCTCTTTGGGATTCTCCCTGCATATCTGAGTATAGGTTTGTAGGATCTTGTCCCAAATTCCTTTCTAGCATAGTTTTGTGGCAGGCTCTGACAATGTGATTTAGAAGGTGGAGGGGAAAGGAAGGGATACATAAATCTAAAGTGTTTCCAGGCCTGTGTTTCTTACTTCAGTCTGCATCTGGAAAACCTTTCCCATATTGGCTCTGGACTCATGAACTCCTTGATCTGAATCTCTGGAGAGTGGCCTCCAGGAAACAGCCTGAGCTAAGCTTCCATCTATGTGTCTAGAGATAACTGTTATGGGGATTTACAGAAGATGTGTCCCTCTCCAGAACTTTACCCTGATAATCCTGATTTCTTACCTTGTGGGGAAATACTTTTTTAAAATTAAATCTTGGCAACAAAATGTGACAGAGGCATGGTAATGGAAGGCATCCTTGAGGCTAAAATCTGTTAAGAGTATAACATTAGTATTTGCTGCCTGATTCACATACACTAGTCACCTTACGCTGGAGTCAATAAAACAGTGAGAACATAAGAATCTCAGATCATTCCATAGGGATCTGACAACTTCATGTATGATGTTTCTTCTGTCTAGAATTCTTATTTTTCACTTTTTAATGATTCTGAAATTTAGGAATAGTTGACTCTTAAAATATTTGACTATAAAATACTGAATTTTCTTCTGAAAAACTGTATTAAAAAGATAGCATTCCTTATGATTGATATGATTTTAGGACCACATAAATACTGTATTTCAAGTAAAGCCCATTTGTCCATTATTTTTGTTAAATTTAACAAATATTTAGTGAGTGCTTAAAAACTGACAGTCACAGTTCTAAATATTGGGGCATGATGCCAAAAACACAGATTCACTCAGCAATGACCTGACTTCCTATTACTTTTTGCATATTCAACCCCTACTCCTTTTCTGGCAGTTAGTGGGTTATAGGCTGGCCCACAATGGATACATGAGAATATAAAGTCATATAGTAAAATACTTGTGAAGATTGCTATCCTCCCAGCCACAGAAATGCCCTGGGATGCTATGTTAAAGAACTTCCATATCAGGTAGTGTCTTAAGAACAAATAGGCCTGAGAGGTGAGGACTGCTGTTGTTCAGACTTCCATGGGGCCATATGAAGACTGACATGTGCCTCATGAAGTCAGGGATGACCCAGATGGCTGACTTTGGGAGGCCTCTGGCCAACATGCACGCATTTCAGTCCCTGTCCACCAGGGGGTGCAGCTTCCTACCACAATCACATTTCCTGTGTGAAATGTGGGCTTGCACTGATCATTTCTCTGTCACTCCAACCTTTCTTCATGGTAAGATTGATGAACATTATTTAGGTGACACTCCAGAGATGAAGTGTTCTCCAGGCTTCGTGACTGTGGTACTCTTAATGCTTGGTAAGTAAATGCCTCTTAAAATTTGGATTCTTTCTTGCGTTGTGTCAGCAAAACCTTTAACTATAATTTTATCCAAGAGCATTATGCCCAAGGTGACAAGGTCTCTTTTCTTTTTCTTCAGGACAAACCCATGGAGATTCAGTGACCCAGATGGAAGGCCCAGTGACCCTCTCAGAAGAGGATTCCCTGACTATAAACTGTACCTATTCAATAACAGGGTATCCCACTCTTTTCTGGTATGTCCAGTATCCAGGAGAAGGTCCAGAGCTCCTCCTGAAAGCCTCGAGGGACAAGGAGACGAAACACAACAAAGGTTTTGAAGCCACCCTCGACAGCAAATCCAAATCCTTCCACCTGGAGAAGGGCTCAGTGCAAGCGTCAGATTCAGCTGTTTACTACTGTGTCATGAATGACACAGTGACGGGGACTGCAGGGGGAGCTGAGCACAAACCCTGAGCAGAGCAGGGGCTTGGATGCTGAGCGTCTCTGCCTGATCCACTCTGGTCCCA